GGGGCGGAAAATTTGAATGCCACGCCCAATTGTAAAAAAAAAAAATCCGAATTTCTTTTTTAATATTAATAATATATTCCTAAAATTTCAAGTTCCTAGCTCTTCATTTACAATTAATGCCAAAAAAATCGACTTTTTACCCATAGTGCAATGGAGCAAACGACAAACGAGCAAACAAGCATTACAAATGGTAATGAAACAAGGTCTAACGAAACTCTTAGCAAATACGCATACACGCTCACATACACATATACAGGTTTACATATTCGTGCGTGAGTTCGTGCTACGGAGTTTCTTTAACGCTCGACTGCTCAACAACATTAATATTACAGAATTATGCAATGCGTGTGGAAATGAGCGCAGTTGCTAGATTTTTAATTAGATCGCAATGAGAGCGCAACATAGATCTAAAAATAAATACAGGCAGCTGCGTTGCCGGGTGGGCCTTTGCAAAGAAGTCGGCAAATTGCATGCGAAGCACCACAATTTTTCATTAAGGGCACTCAGGGTGGGCAGCACATACAAAAAATAAATAAACAAGAATGAGGGTAACCAAGCCATAAACAAACAAATATTTCGCTTTAATCAATAAAATGCGACGCGGCGTAAGGTACTCTCAACTCATTTTTTTTTTTATCTTATTATTATACTTTTATTTCGGTGAAAATCTAAACAAGTTTTCCGAGCCGCAAGTGCGTCAGCAAAAGCCGAAGCAAACACCGCGTCGAATTTTTTTCTTCCATTTTCGTAGCGTACCAATTGGAGGAAACTGGGCACACACACACACACAAATACACAATCGTGAATATTAACCACTTACTTATTCGCGCATTCAAGTCGATTAGCTCAAGAATTTATTTATATTTAATGTGCTTTTGCACAATTTGTGTGTTTTTATTGTCGGCTGTTATGATTTATTAATAGATATTTTACACCACAGAAAACACGTCCGACGCCGACAGCAGAAAAAATACGAGTGACTCGATAAATGTACCTCTGCCGGTGAGACGATTCGCTTACGATGTATTATCGACTGCCTACAGCAGCCCACAGGTACGATACATTGTCCACATATCGCTTACAATATATATCGTGTACCTATGTAATGTTAGTAATGTTAACATAAAAACTACAAATTTCTTATTTTCTTAAGTAAAAACAGGATTTACATTTAATATGTTATGTTTTGTTGCATTATCATAGTATATAAAAGACTTTTCGTATGGGTACAACAGCTGCTTGAATCGAGCAGACTATTGGTAGTAGAGCTCCAAATTCATGCCGTCGTGAATTTCATCTGCAAGTACCATGAATGGCAAAATATTAATATGAATTAAATCAGATTACCAATAACAATTATAATTACAATCAGATAGACGAATGGGATCCTTATAGATGGTGTACCACTTTTTCAGCACAATCTTCTCATGCTTTGTGCCAGTTTGTGCCGCTATTAATTTTTTAAGGTCTCCAATTGTGTCGTCTGGGTTGCACTTTACACGCACCTGTCAGACAGTTGAAACCATTAATTCGTGGTTTGTTTAAATGCAATTATATTACCTTTTTGCCCAGACGGTCATTGCAAGTTATCTCAATCATGTTTGTGTTCCTCCTTTTTAATGCACAACAAATATATTTCGATAACTGCTAGTTCTGGCAATGTCTGCATTATCGATATGCTTGTGCGTTGCCAGAATGTCGCAAAAATTGTTCAGCAAAAACAAATAGACGCCGAATTGCAATATTGAAGATATTTTAAATTATTGCAAAGATGTCCATGATTCCTTTCTTTCCTAATCTTAAGCCAACTGTGGCTAATCGTTTTTGGTTTGATATGACATCCGATGATGAGATGCAAACAAAGCGCTATGAGGACGAACGCAGGAACTGGGTATGTCTCAAATAAATACATATGTGCTTATATATACATACATACATATGTAAATTGAATTATAATTGTGTTTTCCACCTAAGCGGGAATCTTTAAAGACAGCGGCTACAGATTTGCAACCACTGGGTAAGGTGCACACTATCACTGGCGTCGAAACAGATGATGAGGATGGTAAGTCGCGAGCATAATAACATTGGGTGAGATATTCATAGTTGCTTCTCACAGCCAACGATGATAGTGAAGACACCGATAGTCACGACGAGGAGGATGATGAGACAAACGATCGTGTCATTCCCGTTACACAGGATTTCTACTCTGCGGACGATATACAAATGAACGACGAGACTTCGCCCACAGCACCCTAAAAGGAAAGGCATTGCATAGATACACCATTTAGTTAAGAGTTAGCTACTGTTGCGATTACAAAGTTCCCTTTACAAACTGTAATAACAATTTTCGTTTACTTTAAGCTTAAATAAATTATAAACACAATAAGCAAATGATATAGTTGGTTATCATTATTATAGTTTGCTGCTAGTTGGGGGTGTTGCAGAGATGGACTGGGGAGTTCACAGAGTCACAGAAAAGGTTTCACACATTTCGTCTACTTGTGAAGCGCCGCAGTTTCCAATTTGGGCGCCGGCTTCGAGGCCAAGCCTGAGAGCAATTTCTTGATCTCGGCAATAGCACGACCAGGATTCAAGCCCTTGGGACAGGTGCGCGTGCAGTTCATGATGGTGTGGCAACGGTACACGCTGAAGGGATCCTTCAGCTTGCTCAGACGCTCAACGGAGTTCTCGTCACGCGAGTCAATGATCCAGCGATAGGCCTGCATCAGCACAGCCGGGCCAAGGTACTTTTCGGCATTCCACCAGTACGACGGGCATGAGGTCGAGCAGCAAGCGCACAGAATGCACTCGTACAGGCCATCCAACTTGGAGCGATCCTCCACAGATTGTAAGTACTGTGCCTTGCCCTTCTTCTCCCCGGCTTCGTTTCTGTGGAGGATTTGCGAGTTATTCAACCAATTTCCATAAAGATTCCAATTGCTACTCACTTGCGCTGCAGCCAGGGCTGAATATTTTTGTACTGCTCGTAGAAGTTATTCATGTCCGGCACCAGATCCCTCACCACATACATATGGGGCAGCGGGTACACCTTCAGAGGCTTCGGGCTGGTCGCATCGATCTTGCTGATGCAAGCGAGCGTGTTGGTACCGCCAATGTTCATGGCGCACGAGCCGCAAATGCCCTCGCGGCACGAGCGACGGAAAGTCAGTGTCGGATCCATCTCGTTCTTGATCTTGATCAAGGCATCCAACACCATGGGACCGCACTCACGCATGTTGATCTCATAGGTCTGCATGTAGGGCTTCTCTCCGGCATTGTCTGGATTCCAGCGATAGATCTCGAATTTCTTGATCTGTGGCTCTTGGGCTGCTTTTGGCTGTGCCTGTTGCTCCAGCTGCGTCGTGTTGCTGATTGCGCGCAACTAAAAAAAGAAAAGCGACACTGAATTAATGTGATAAATAATTTGCGCTAGAGTCACGCCATAAAAAAAAATTTTTTTTTTTTTGACGAAAATGTTTACATAATCGCAAATTGTGTTTTTTTTTTGCGACGCACTTGATTTGCATTTTATCAGATACGATCGCGTATTAGGTATGTTTTTATTATTTATTATATAACAATATTGCCCAAAAATCGACTTCGCACACCCTCGCGGCTCCAGAGGAAGTTTTCTAGGAGCTTTGCTGCACGCCCGCTCACCTGATGACGTGCTGCCAAAGAGCTGGCGCGGCTCAAGACCTGTCTGGCTTCGTTGACCAACATTTTTCTAATGAAATTGAAACGTCACTGCGTTTGCAATTTGTTAATTAATTAATCAAATAATACGTTGTTTTCCGACTGGAAAATTACTGTTGCAATCGAGAAGTTTGCACGGCGAAAACCTTTCGATTAGAGTTGTCAAGATGCACTGATTGGTCTGGTCTAAAAGAGCTAGCGTTAAAATAGCTAAAAATACTAAATGGTGAAATTATTGATAGTATATAAAATAAAATAATGAAATAATGTATGTAAGACTATTTGAATTAGTAGATTAGGTATAAATTAAGTATTGCATTTAGTAAAATGTATTTATATAGAGGTATTTTTACACTAAAAGTGCCGTCCGGCCAGCTCTCGTGTAATATATCGTTTAGCTTAGATATCGATAACACTGCAGCTGCATTCAAGTATGACCAGCCATATCAAATATCAGCATTTTAAAATTCAAATACAGATTTTTATTGTATATTCATTAGTTTAATTTATTTATAAATAAATAAGTATTGCCTAAATAATAAATATATTTGTATTTACAGTATTTTAATACTTTATGTCATTCAAACTGTTTTGGCTAAATCTGACTAACTGTTTCAACAGCTCCTCGATGTGTTTGTTGAGTTAAAGATTTTTCTAGGCTGGCGGGCAAAATATTTAGCTCTGCATTTGCCGTATTTCCCTCATTTACAGCACGTTGATAGTTTGGTGGAGCGCTGTAAGTAAAATAGACATAAATATATAACAGATTCTTTACTTATATTTTAAAATTTAATTACCTATTAATGGGAGCGGGTATGCTCTGCACTTGCACTTGAATTTGGCTGGAAAAGTTTAGATATGAGATAAAATATTCGTTTTTAATGTAAAGATTATTGTCTAGTTTACCTCACGGCCTGTGCTGGGTATACATATGCAGGTGGATAAACGTGTGTTTGACAGCCTGCAGGTGGATAGTAGCTGGGTAGACCCGCTGCTTGGCCATGGGTAGCAGCTATTCCTCCTGGAGGTACGTGAGCCCTGGTAGCTGCTTAAGGGAGATATCATATATAGATATCATTTCTATAAAAAGAAACTCTATACCATACCGTCATTGATTACAAATCCTACGTTTTCCTTCGCCTTTTGCTCTCGAATGATTAGAGCTACAATTGAAACAAGGATAAATATTGATATGCATATGCAAAGCGATATTATAAAGGCCTCCATTTCTCGAACTTTGTTTGCTGTCAGCTTTTCCAGTGGACAACGCGTACTGAGAGCGAGCCCCATGGGCAAGTTCCCCGTCCATGTCTAATCAGAAGGCAATATGCGAGGTATAGATAAGCGATATCTGCTGGCTTCAAGCGGCAGGTCGTAAATTTGGCAATACGCAGTGAATTAGTCACAAAAAGGCATTCTCGAAAAGAAATGTTTATATCTACGAGAATGTGAGTGTAAGTACATATATTGCTAATACTGATAAGAAAAGATTACAATTATTTTAAGCTTTTTTTAGGCATCAAAAATTACCAAAAAATTTAATAGCATTTAATAGTAATAAAAAAGCTTTACAAAAAATTAGAGTAGACAAATTTACGCTAATTTAATTTAATCAATTTAATTAAAAAAGAGCTAACTAAATTTAAAATGTAACCAATATATATTAGAGAAAATTAATGCTAAATAAAATTAAATAAAAGAATGAATAAATTGATAAATAAATTTATTAAACATTAGCTACATTTTACTTTGAATTATTTTAACTAATTCTCTTACTGGCATTTTCTATTAAATATATATATATTTTTTTTTCTACAGCTCTTGATAATTTGTAAAGAATTAATTAAACTCCAGCCAAGATACACAAGAAAATGTCAAGAAGTTGACAGCTTGTCTAGTTTTAATTGAGCGACGGCTGTGATAAATGCAATTCTCGCTCGTAAGCTGCATTGTTATGGAGCGCGAGAGTCTCTCTAAGAGCAACAGCGATTGAAATGAATTGGCGAGATTTAATGGCAGTTGGCAAGTGCAGGCGAAACTACCATAAAACGAAACTTCTTAACTGCCATTTATGCCGCCCAGCCAAGAGCAGCGCGACTTTGTCAATTGTTCATTGACCTTTTGTTCAACTCGGGACAATGTGGCTTACATATAAATTTATATATATATGCACACGTATACCTGTATATAGGAAAAGAAAAGCGCGCCTCATTCTCACCTAGACAAAGGACATTTTTATTTATTTTTATTTTTTATTTGTATTTTCGAAAGCGAAAGGCATAAAAGCCTCAGTTGCAAAAGTTACGAAAAAAATACAGAAAAAAACAAAAAAAAATATATATATAAATACATACAAAAAGTTTTTCAATGTTAAAGCAAACAGAGCAGCGCACAAAAGTTGAGGGACGCCAAAGAGCGCCCTCAAACCACGCCCCCATTACAGACCCTCCCCTCGCTTCCAGCGCACCCAAAGCAAATACAAAATAGGTCTAAACAATGCAAAAACTTAAATAAAACGTTTGGCCAGGTGGGCCAGCCCCGAGCCCTTGTGCCCCGCCCTCCTCGATGTCAACTTTAAAGAAAAGGCATTACAAAAGCCTCAAAACTTGAGACAACAGCTTAAGCGAGTGGGCGGCAGGGGCGTGGCTGCAAGCTAGTGCAAGTCTTTGCGCAAATTGTGTTTTGATTGAAATTCGACTCGGAGCAATGCATGCAAATGACGTCAATGATGACGAGAGCGCACAGCTAATTAGCCGACCATAGAAGAGACTGCCTCAGCACAAAAAAAACGAAAACAAAAACAAAGCACGAAAGAAGAAGAGAAGAGAAAAGTTTACAGCCCAAACGAGCGAATCCAAACAAATACGATTGCTTCGAGGCGGTTTGGCCTGGAAAAGGCCCTAGACTACTTTCGAGGGTCACTTCAATGGCCAGCAGCAGGAGGGGGAGGGGCGGGGTAGGAGCAGCAGCAGCAGCAGGAGGAGCATACAAAAAAATAACTAAAGGAATAGCAAGAAAAAGTTTATTTGACTTGACGAATTATTTAATACACTTGCAGACGGGCGTATAGAGAGAGATAAATAACTAAAAATTATATATTTAAAAAAATCTTTGCAACATAAAATATTTTAAATAATCTACAAATATATTTATATCGAAGTTTTGGTTTAAGTTGAATTAAATTAGAAAATAATGAAATTAATAATTAATGAAATTCATTATTAATAAATAGCAAGGCTTAACGCTTAACGGCGACAGAGATAGAGAGAGAGAGAGAGAGAGAGAGAGAGAGAGAGGGAGCGACAGTAATGCAGAGAAGGACAGAGCGAAAATAAGGGACAGCGATGTAGAGATAGAAAGATGAGAGAGGAAAAGAGATAGAGAAAGTGAGAGAGGAAAATAGAAAGAGAGAGACAGAGAGAGAGAGAGGAAGAGAGACAGAGATAATAAGATATGCAAATTCAAATTAAACTTCAATAAAAAAATCAAAGAAAGTCTCAGCAGTAGAGCAATAGTCAGATAGCTTCATCAATAACAACTTAACTAAATAATTTAAATGTAAAAAAATATACGCAAGTGGGAAGCAGTTAAAGGTCTACAGCTAACCGACATCAACACTTATCTAATCAGCATCAATCAAATGCAAAAAGAGACTTCATATGGCCATAGCTTATCCTCAGTCGCTTTATTTGAATGCCCCAGGTGAGAGTATCGCGGGCAAAAGTTTTGCAAAATCAATACGAAAACTGTGGGAGCGAGCGAGCGAAATGAATGGGCTCGATAGACGTTTGGATTTTGGCAAATTGAGCGAACCACCCGATAAATGTTTTGTGGTGCGTCAAATATACATTTGCGTCTGATATACTAGCGGGCCCAACCTCTGCCACTGCCCGCCCAGCCCCGCAGCGCCAACTCAACTTTCAGTTTATCTGCCGCTTTGTGTGGCGGCTCCTCCTGTTGCTGCTGCTGCTCCAGCTCCTCCTATTCCTGCTGCTGCTGTCGTCTATATCAATGGCATGACGCACGCACATTGCTTTGATAGATAGAGAGAGATTTACGTATGTGTTACAGCATATGAATAGCTTTGTATCAATGCGCTAGACAAACGTCACATTTCCATTTCTATCTCTTTTTTTATCACTCTCTCTCTCTCTCTCTCTCTCTTTCTCTCCGTTCGATTGACAATATTGTCAAAGTTCTTTCCTTTTTGTATGTGCATTAAAATGGCATTCATAAGGCGTCACATCCCCGGGGTGCCATAAAAAAGTGCCCGTAGACACAGCCGGAGACACACTAGACACAAAAAGGACCCCCACACACATATACAGTTAGATGGAGAGTCATGTAATTCAATAGCCTGTCCCATATCTAAATGAATTATTTATGCTCGCTTTGTGGTCTGTGTGCCGTTCGATTCTGTAAACATTGATTGCTGCTCGTTAGAGCTGCTCTGGCATTTAATATATCATTAAAATTGCAATGGGTTCATCCACACCCCGTCCCCGCTGTTGTTGCCCCACTTGTTGCTCTGCTCTCGATTGATTGCAAATTTGTTGCTCTTTCGGTTTATTACGCATACAACGTGTGTGCTGCGGACTCGACTCGAATTTGTCAAGTGGTTTATGTGCATTCGCCATGGGACACTACTAAAAACTAGTTAAGCGCCAATTCAACTAACTAACTCTCTATCTCTCTCTCTGTCACTCGCACATTCCCTCTCTTTCAGTCATTGAGTGCATTGGCAAACAGTTAACATATTCGAGTGCCATTAGGGTCAATCAAAGTCAGCTCAAAGAGCTCTCATCAAATGGCTCTATCGAGCGCTTGTTTTTAGTTCAATTTAAGCTTCATCTGATTGCTATAATTTTGAATTTCTGGGAAAATGCTGACAGTCAAATTTACTTTGAACTAACTTGTGCACAATATATATAATGCTAAACAGACTTGACAAAACTGATCTGTCTGTGGCAGTTGTCACGGCAACTTCAGAAGCAAATCAATAGAATACTTGCAGACATTGGCCCCCATCTGACTAGCGTCTTGAGCGGACTGCGGGCCAACTGCGACTCACTTGCCAAGAAGAAGAAGCCAGAAATGTGACCTTGAATTGAATACAAATGCCAGCAACACCTTGAAAGGGGAATACGCTTGAAGGCAGAGTCCATAAGCTGTGCCTAGACAGATACTAAAGATTATAGTAAGATTTTACTTACAGAATCACATTTATATTGAACTTGAAGTTAGAGCGAAAATAAATAGAAAAATAAATTAATAAAGCATAAATTTGTATATTTATTTATTTTTGTAGTTTATTTCTCTTCAACATTTCTTAATATTATATAGATATCTTCTTTTTACCTCTTTAAATTCATTTTCACTTCAAGCTCATTAGAATAAAGTGTAAAGCTATGCATAGAAACATTTTTAATATGAGCTCTCGCTACAAGAATGTTAAAACTCGAAAGCTTATATTAATATTATTGTTATCTACAGCAGCTTTTATTTCAAACAGCTTACATTTACTATTCGAAGCTTGAGGTTCAGTTACAAAAGCTATATAACTTTTATAACTAATATGCTTACACTAAGCTTATACTTCAAGTACATTATTCATACTTAAGAGTAGAGTTCTACATATATTTTACGTCACTTCGATCACTTTAAGACATAAAGCTTAAGCCCTAGCCTATTTAGCTATATAAGTTACTTAGACTTAAGTTTCTATTCAGTCTCTTTAAGCCTCTTAAAGCTAACGTCTGCAGCTTAAAGCTTCACGCCATGAGCTATATAAAGGAATTTACTTAGCATCAGCCTTAACTGCAATCTCCTTGCAGCCAATAGTCGAAGCTTAAAGCTGAGATACACAAAAATAAATCAACTTACAGTCAGCTCTCGCTGTAAGCACCTTAAAGCGAATATTTTTGGCTCCACGGCATTAGCTATATATAGAATTAGCCTTCACTTCGGGCTAATCTTCACCTCAAGCTAAGCCTTGTCAAAAAGAAGCCGCCGGCCTGGGCTGAAAGCCCCGCCCAGCTGCACAGGCTGCTGGTGCTTAAGCCTAGTGAAGCAGGTGTCCAGCCCGTAAATGCCAGTGCGCGGGCATTGAGTGTAAAATCTTGTTGTAATTTTAAGAAAGAGACAATTTGATGTGCGCTGCTGTTTGATGTACATTTTCATTACACGCTCTCTCTCAAGTGCATCAAATTTTATGTGCCTGGCAGGCGAAGCGAAGCGAAATGAAATGAGATAAAAAAAAAAAAAACAAAAAAATAAGGGAAGCAGAAAAACGAAACTTAAACAGGTCAACATTTTAAAGCTGTTAGAGCAGCAAGAAGGAAAATAAAGACAGATAGCATCAGAAACAGCTGGGAATGCGCGCACCTGTGTGTGTGTGTGTGTAGGTGTCTTAGGCGTTGGGCGAGCGAAATACAAAGTTGTGACAGCGTCTATCTGGCTATGAAATCGCTGAGCTTGTTTTTAATTTCAATCAACTTATGCGGGACAGGCGCGTGTAATTCAAGGATTCAAGGACCGTCGAGGCTTGCAAAAACTATTTATCAACCGTGTTGGCGACAAGTTGTCGCCGAGTCACACGCCAACCGCCTGTCGACTTACAACAAAAAACTTGTCAGTTAGCAGCGCACAAACAAGTTATCAAAAGCGCATCATCATAGTTGTTGTTGTTGTTGTTGCTGTTGTTGTTGCTGTTGCTGGAAGTGGATATGGTCTGGGCTGATGATGCTTCAGTCACGCGCCAGGATCTCAGATAGCGGCACGTACAAAACTCAATACGAGACTACAACTGCCCACAGTCCACAGACACGAACGGCATAAATGAAGCAATGCGAACAGACAAGCTGACAGCTCTCTCTCTCACACTCTCTCTCTCTCTCTCTCACACACCTTTCTCTGAATGGTGTCAACTTTAATCTTCGGCTTCGACTCGGCCTGCCTCCTGACCAACCTGCTTAAATATTCGTGGAATCTGCATAATATCTGTCCAGGCAAAACAATATGCTCGGGCTTCATCCTTTTTCTTGCCTCTTCTTCTCCGTCTTCTCCTATTTTTTCGTGTGCTGCAAATGACCATTTAAGAGGCATTTTGGTATACTTGACTTAACTTGGCTTAAGTTCAGGTTCAGTTTATGCTCTCGAAAGCCGCTTACAGCTCAATTTCCCCAACGCAGAAGTTTCGTGCTTCAACTTTAATTTTGTGTGCTTCATAAACTTCATATGGCTTTATGAGTGTAAATCTGCATTGGCCCAAAGGCATAAAAGGGTTAGCTGAATGCTGTGCGAATGCATTAAGGGTAGCAGCGCCCCTTGGGTGCCGAGGCTGTGGCTGTGGCTGGGGCGTGGCGCGCCAGCAAAACTTTTTTTATTATTCCATAAATTTAAGTACGCCCAACTCTACTTCCGTTTCGTAATACTTAGTGAAAATTGGTGCGAGCATCTATCTAATTGCCAGCTCATTAAAGTTTAAGTTATGAGAGCCTTTCATAATTTATTTTATTCATTATACTCGAGTCACATAGCTTTAATAGTTGCAAGAATTTAATGCATATGTAAGATTTTGGTTGATTAAGTAAAGACTACAAAGGAAAATTCTAATCTGCTACAAATTATATGTAGTTACATTAATTAATATATTAGTTGATATATATGAATGGTAGATATTAATAATAATAGGTATTAATAATAATAAATAAATAATAAATAATAAAAATAATAAATTTATATTAATAATAATAAATAAATAATAAATAATAAATTTATAATAATAATAATAAATAAATAATAAATAATAAAAATAATAAGTTTATATTAATAATAGTAAATTTATATTAATAATAATAAATTTATATTTAAAATTTCAATTAGCAATACAAAATACATAAAATGCATATGGATTTGTATAACATTGAAAATGCGAAATCAAAGTAAATTAGATTTGTTAAATGTATATAAAAAGCCGAAAAAAGGCGAGGCAAGCCCTATAATAATACATAAAATATAAATTCTTATTAAGCTAAGAAAAGCTAAGAGCTTGAGACTCCTTTTAGTATTTTCCCCTTAGTATTTCCTCTTAGCATTTCCACTTAGTAGTTCCTCTTAGTAAATCCACTTAGTAAGTAATTCCTCTTAGTGTTTCCCCTTAGTATTTCCCCTTAGTATTTCCTCTTAGTATTTCCCTTTAATATTTCCTCTCAGTATTTATTCTCATTATTTTTCTTACCTCACTGCTCTGAACGACTGACCTGCACCACCAGACCTGCTAGACTGAAGAAATGCTGCAGCTGCTGCCCCTTATATAGAGCTACTTTCACTCAATGTCTGGGTCGCTCTCAAATGTTGAGTCCGGTGTCGGGCAGGGGCCGTTGCAGTCGATCTTCAAGTGACCAATGGGAGCACTCTCTGCTGCTGCAGGCATTCCAGCTTCGTTTTACTTAAATATAAAAGCGAACTGGATGCTGCTGCATACATAGAGACAACATAAATGATCTTCTGTAGTTAGTCAGACAGACAGACAGATTGAGAGGCAGACAGAGAGATAGACAGGGAGACACACATACAGACAGACATACAAACAGATATACATATGGGCAAACCAACATACATAATCCTCAATAAAATATATACATATATGATTGATAAAGCTAAATGTTGATCTGCTAAAAATATTATGTAAAACTAGCAGAGATTTCTTCTGCTTTATATCTCTCTTACTTGCTCTATATCTCTCTTCTTGCAGTCATTAAAAATCCTTAATCACTGCTAATATGTCCTCTTGCCTTAAACTCTCGCAGCCTTCAATGGGAATTGCCACTATGAGATTATGGCAAAATTAAGACTTTGATTGGCCATTACATAAACACTCGCCGCTCGTAAAACTCGCATAAAAGGCCAGAATAGAAAGGCCAAAAGTAAGTGACAAAGGCAAGCAGATTATGGTCCTTTGACACATGCGCCGCTAGGCAGGCGATTTAATCAAATCTGAGCAACAATATAGGACTTTACGGACAAAGACTGTATAGGACATAAGTATATTTGGCTAATAGAACAACTAGAGGCGCATTAAATATTATGTAAATTGCAGCCATGGAGTGTAAGTTTTTATTTGTGTTAGTAAAGACGCAGTTTAAGGCAAATGTTGTTGTTAGTGGGCGTGATAAAATGTATGCAACTATCTTTATGAGGCAGCCACGTGATGCGCAAGCAGCACTCAACCCAGCCGAGCCACTGTCTTGGCAAATTATTCAAATTAATTTACATATTTTAGTTGAAAAGTTTTCATTAAATTCTCATAAATAAATGAGACGCTAAGTAGGTCAAGACGATAAGCGGGCGCAGGCAGACCGTCAACACAACTTATGCAAATAGAAAGCAAAGTGAACTAACCTTGAGCACATTTATATACACATGCATACATACACACATACATATATATATGCTATATATGTTTTCATTTAGAGCTGCTCTGGCTGGGTGGAGTTGGCAACAAATGTTGACGCATTTAACGGTCGCTGCCGGCCTTGATTAAATGGCCAAACAAGACAAAAGCGGCAAATTGATGAAATTTCAGCAATGGCTAAAACAAATACGAGATGCAATTGGCAAGTTGTGAGGGAATGGGAGCGGAGAGACTATATAAAAGCTAGGGATATTGATTGGAAATTAGCTGGAACTAAGGGTAACAAAATCTAAAAAATTTGCAAAGAAATTATTAAAATTGTATAAAAAATAAAAAGTATATAGAATTTAAATCATAATAAATCATATAGTATAAGGAAAGACTCTTTAAGAGCCACAGTAATTGATTGATCTTAAACTATGTATATTTATGTAAATAATAAATAAATAAATAAAAAATGAATATAATAAAAATTTAATTAAATTAAAAAATATATATAAATCAAGTAAATAAATTATTTAAATCAAAATATAAAAATTTGACATAATAATAAAACTTAATTTTAAAAATTAAAACAAATTAATTTGATATTTTTTACAACTATCTAAAACGAAAAAATGAAATAAAAATCATTAAAAATCCCTTTGACAAAATTTCAATAAAAAAAGTCAATTTAGAATAATAATTATGAGCATTTACCACACTCCATTTGAATTTATGTTAATTGAAGAACACACGCTAGATTAGGCTTAGCATCCACTTGGCTCTGGCAGCCCTCGCTTGCCTATTTACTTATGGCACATGGCTGAGGGGGCTAATCAAACAGTTGCCGGCAAAAGCAGTTAAGCCAACAGGAGGCGCCCGCACAATGAGCTAAGCAAACAGACAAGTGGAGAATCACAGTTATGCTACGCAGCAGCAGTAACAGTAGATGCCTACTTAATATGGGTCCCTGAACGAGCCACAGAGTGTGGGGGGTAGAGGGAGAGTAAGACACGGCCTTAATGTGATTTTCATGCGTATGCGATAAGCGTCGCATAAACGCAATAAGCTGCAAATAATCAGCGGAAAGACAAGAAATCTACACAGAGCATAACCTCACACACATACACACGCACACAGACAAGCTCACACACACACAGTCACAGTCACCTGCCATAAAAAGCTGAAGGCGCAGAAAAGTATGCTACATTTTTTTCTTTTGCTGCGCGACGCTTTAATGACCGAAACGCTTCACTTGCTCCAGTTTCAGTGGGGATTCCATTTTCGCTGGCGCTCTAGCCCAACGCTCGTTTATTAAAGCATTGACTCGGGCTTGTTGCCGCTGCTTTATGCAAATGTATGTAAAGTGTTGAAGCGATGCCAAACAATTTAGCTGGAACCCCAAATGAAGTGAGAAAAATAAAATTAAAGTGCGCGCACACACACACACACACACATCGCCACACAACTACAGCCAAAAAAGGGGCCCAGCGCAGCTTGTAAGGTAAACAAAATGTAAATTGTTTTGGCGTTTTTACTTAATTTTCGGCATTTCCCCTCGCTCGCGTTTGTGTTTGGCCAATGCCAATCGCTGATAATGCGTGCCCGTTCATTGCACTCTCTGTGCAGGGTTCTTGGTCGTATTTCTTCGCCTTCTTGGTTTTGGTTTAATGCCCAGTCGAAAAACCCATCAACCGGCAGAGGCGAACGCTATTGAACCTGCCAGCACATTTTGAGTGCTGCCAAATTTGCATTTGGGCGGCAGCATGTGGCGTATGCGCAATATTTTGTCGTTGAGGTAGTTCATGGGAGTGCAGCAGGCGGGCCAAATCAAAATTCTGTTGCTGGAAATTAAATATAACTTAGAGTAACTCAGCAGGTTCAATGGGAGAGGTCGAGCGGGCTTTTCAATAGGAGATAAAGGTGAAGTAAATGCAGAGAGAATCCATTGAGCAAATCGATTTCGATTGCTGTCTTTATTAAGTAAATATATATGCTTTATGGTATCTGCCACGCCTACTACTGCTTGTTAATTGGAATTTTCATAAGACATAAGAATTTACATTTGCAGTGCATTCAGGGCATAGAAATAAATAGATAAGAACTTTTGCTCATTTGATTTGTATATTTTATATATTTACTTAATATATGTTGTACACAAATATATATTAATGGCTTGTCGTAATATACAAATCATGAAGATTGCCCACAAAGTAGCTATAGCCTATATTATTCCATTCTCCATTCAGCAACAGAGTTCCACGCCTGCCAAGCCTTAACCATTCAATTATCGCAACTTTTGCATAGTCAGCCAAAGCTTATGAAATGCAAAGTCTTGATAATTTGTTGCTAAGTAATAATCAATAAATACATGAACCAAAACCTGCGCAATTTACATAGTTGTAATCTAGAAATCAATCAGAATCTCACTGAGAAACCGCCAGCAATTTAATCTAAATGGATAAATGAATTAAGATAAACTGTTAATAAATTGGAAATAAAAGAAAAAGAAAATATATACATATTATTGTTGTTAGTATTTTTCTCTGCTCAAAATTTCACATATTTGCTATCAATGTCGCTAGACTCGCGAGGTTTTTGATAATGTTGATCATAGCACCCCACACACACACACACACACACATATGTATATATTCAAATGTGTGCGTGCACTGCACGAAATCGAAGCACTTCAAACTTTGAGTTTTTACAATTTCCACAGGCAGCTAGAGTTTCGAACACAAATGCACATATGTATATGTATATGAGAGCAAGGCACTGTAGGTGTGTGCATGTGTGCGTGAAAAAGTATTTTTGATGCGTCCCACAAATAACAGTGAAAATGTTCAAAATTTTGCATGAGTTTGGCAAACTGCTTTATGATATTGGTATTCTTGGCTATCTCTGCTCTCACAGGAGTAGAAATGTGACCTCTTGGCGAACGATTTACAATGCATGTGAGCTGCAGCTGCTGCATGCATAAATATGCATGCATCCATATACGTGGAAAGAGCAGGGAGTGAGGGTGAGGAAAAAGAAAGGAAAGAAATGCAAGGATTGGAAAAATTTCGAATGAAGCCTAGGAGCGCACTGAATTCACAGTTCCATATGCATGTTGATCGAACCTGAATTTGAAAAATCCGAGAGAATATGCAGTTAAGTGAGAAGAAAATGTATTCATTGGAAAAGTTTGTACTCAATTTCCAAGAATGTGTTCTATAGTATATAATAAATACTCGTATACAAAAAAATTAATTATAAAAATATATTGATATCTCAATACATAAATATAACAAAATATATAGAAAATTATATTATTATTGAATTATATTATATTGAATATAATAATAATTTAAAAAAAAAAAAAATTGTTATATACAATCATTCAAGCTTCAGTTACAGCTAAAAAAAAAAAGTTAGATAAATCAAAAGAAAAATAAATAAATAAATTGTTTATTGGCCAAACTAAAAAACATGCCACATATAAATATTTATGCATAAATAAATATGTAAATAAATGACTTAAAGATAAATATAAAATATTTTGACTCAACTCAACTTTGGGCTTTCTCTTTCAAGTTTCAAGTTAAATCAAGTGCAAATAAACGCAATAATTTTTCTCCAATTTAAATAAGCCAAAAGTTAAGGCAATGAGCGTAATGAGCTCAGTGAAATGTGTTTTAAAATTAACTCTTGGCTAATGACGACGACAGCAACAACAACAATCGAAACAACAACAACTTAAGGCACAACAACAACTGTTTTGCAGATTGTCAGCGTCAGTTGTCCTTGGCTGGCAGCTGTTGCTTAGCAGGCGACAAGCTCATAATTGCGCATATAATTTGGCAAGCAGCTTAAGCTGGCTAAAAGCAAACGATTGAAACAGCCAAGAGTGTGGCAACTGCGGGGGGAATGGGGGCAGCACTGATGATTGCCTCAATAATTAACGAACTCAAAATCAGGACGTAGAGCGTAGAGCAAAGTAGCGTATAGCAGAACCTAAGGTAAGTGAGTCAAGTCAGTTAAGGGGATGTTACACACACAAACACACACACACACAAAGGCACACACGCACACGCACATGCCAAGACGCTTGCCACTCGCTCGCACATAAAGGCGCATGCCACGCCCCCACTTGACACTTGACACCGTTGACATCGCAAATGTTTGCTACTAAAAAACTAATTTCTCGCACTGCTGCACATAATTTTATGCAATTGTACAGCAAATTGAATTGTCAACTGCTCCAATGCTCAAAAAAGGGAGAGCTTTATGTAAATACATACATACATATATACGTAAAATAAATGCATATATATTTATAGAATGCAGACAGCTTAAAATTTTAATTGCATTTGCATTGCTCTTTGTTAATATGGCAATGCATTTTCGTTTTCGTTTTAATAATTTCTTATTGGCATTTATCAGCTTTAATTAAGTCTGGCTGTGCAGCACACGGCGTATACGTAATATGTTAATTATGAGCAGGCGCTAGAGTTGAAAGCTGAAGACTTTAAGAATAATGGTAAGGGAGAAATAATTTATGTTCTAGATTTATAATAAATATAAGAGTTGGCTTTTTTTTTTGAACACAAGAACTTAAAAAATAAATAATAATTCCTATAAAATTTCCCCTTTGTTAAATTAAATTTTATTTTATATATAATTTATTAATAATTTAATTCAAATGCTTAGCATATTTTAAGTATCTCCCTCTAATTTTTTAACTTACTAAAACATAAATTCAAATACTTTGCATATTTGTGCCATTCAATATGCAAATGGAATTTCTCACGAGCCGAAAACAATAAATTTCCAAGCCAACTGGCACTTTGGCCAAATCATTATCAAATAATTTGCCAAGCATTTGCCATGCTCAAAGTCAAATTCTAAGGCCGTATAAAATGCACAAAGCAACTGAGCCCAACTAAATTGAGTATATCGAATGTCAGCAGTGATTCAAGAGAAAACGAATATCGCTCAGGCACATCGATGAAATTTGATAAGTGCAGCAGGCAGAGGCCAAAGCCAGAGCAGAGCAATTGACTCGAGCATTTAAAATGGCATTTAGTTGTGTGTGATATGCTTTATCAATTGGACAATCACTTCATACAGAATTTATTGTGTATGCTTACTGTGCGCATACGGAATTAATTGACTTCGAATTGTTGGTTGGAATATGCTGGTAAAAGATATTTAAGCACAAAAGTCTAAAATTTATTAAATTTGTATATGGAATAAGTATATTATAATTAAATAATATTTAATAATTTTAAACAAGAATTTATTTAACTATTCAAATTAGTGATGTAAAATGTGCAAATATATAATTTCATTAAATATGCATTACTGCGCAGCATTATTTGCAATTTAATTTATGTGAACAAGTTTTAATGCGACCCCAGGTATTAACCGCAAACAATATGCAGTTAAAATGGAATGCAAAAAATGTTTATATATTCATATTATAAATGAATATTTGCGTATATAAACATATTTACATATATGGCCTTGCCAGATGCTTTTCGATAATTTATTTGCTCGCCTTTGGATATTCAGCAAAAATAATAAAAAAAACATGTAATGTGCACTGCGAATATTTTTATTTATTTATAGCATATAGTTTCAATGAAGCTGTACTTTAATAAATGAAAAGCAAACGAGTTTTGTGTATTTAAGCACTTACTTTATTTACTTTTAACTATTTCTATTTAATTTCATTCAAATTGAATTGAGGCAAGTTGAAATTTTTGCATGGCGCACAAAAGTATGCTATGGAAAATGTGGAAAAAATGTCTGCGGGCAGAAGCCACCGTGGCAGTGGCAGTGGCAGTGGCTATGGCTGTGGCAGCGGTGCTGCAGCTGAATTCTATATTTAGAGAAAAATATGCTTCATTATGCTGCCACATGTTGTGCACGTTGTTGTTGTTGTTGTTGTTGTTGTTGCTGTTGCTGCTGCTGTTATCTCTGTGTGTGTAATTGGCATGAACAATGTTCCCATTTTATTACACAGTTATGTGAGCATGCAAATGTGTGTGTGTGTGTGTGCGCCTATTTGCGACGGTTCAATTACTGCAGCCCATTTATCAGGCACGCTTAGGGCCCAATCAAATTATATTGCCATAATTCGCATATTTACACACACACAGGCAGTTGAGGCTCAGTTTAAGGGGCAATTTGCGTTAAACGTTGATTGAATAAGCGTTAATGCAACTAGCATTGGCTAAAGTGTTATGGCCTAAATGCACACTGATGAGAGTGTAAGTGTGTGTGTGTGTGTGTGTCAGTGTGCATTCACTGGCTCACAGCATGACATCAACTGGCAATCAGGCTATGGACACGTGCGCCGGTCAACTGACTCATCGATTGACTACTTGTGCAGCTCAGTCAGTGCCTTAACACCTGAACACGTTCGCAGCTGCAGCCGGAACAATGTCTGGCGACAGCAGCAACAGCAACTAACGGCATTTGCCGTGCTAATGGCGAGCCGTACAGGAAATGCCATTAGCAGAGTTTTCCCCAACAAGAAAATGCATTAACACGCCCGTCTCGCCACGCTGGGCGATGGTCGGGCCCTTATGACAGCCTGACACTTGATATCAGGTTTATTAGCAGCACATTTATCATAATTAACGCCCGACCGACTGACACAGGATATTATCTATGCTGATTCTCTAACATGGCCCAGTGCGGCGCAAAAAATGTGCACATAAAATTCTGGGAATTCCATTGTCAGAAGCCGCCAACGAAATGCCAATAGAGCCCATTAGGCGGCAGGCGATGATGGCGGCAGCTCATAAAAAAAAAATGCTAAGGGAGACGGACAAGTGTGAAGCACCAAAGGCAGCAACAACAGCAGCAACAATGGCAGCAAAATAAAATGGTAAAAACAAAGAATTTATACGCACCGTGGCAAATGATTCATGCGGAAGTAAAGGCACTCGAGAGTGCCACAAATACTGTTGCAGCAGCACAGCGACAAACACGGACACACACACACACACACACACACAAATCAAACTTTACATTTTTATTTCGCACCTTTGGCCGCACGCACCTGAGTCCGGCAAGGACTCTTAAGAGCGCGCGGCCTAATGGCTCTGAATCGGAAAATCGTGAAGGCAACGCAATATTTTTCGTTAGCTGCATTTGCTGTTGTTGCATATTTTAATTGACATTTTGATTGTTTCATGGCGCGATTCGATTTGATGTGCAACTCACGCTGACTGGCAGCCGACGATATGTGGAGTGGGAGGCGGGCTGGGCAGCGCAGTGGGTCAGTGGGTGGCCAGCGGACAAGCAACTGTTGAAGTGTGGCGCCAGTGCGTCGACTCACCAAATGAGCGCTCAACAGTTTGTTGCTGAGCACGATGGTTGGGCAGCGCGAGCTGAGAGCGTGAGAGAGAGAGACAGAGAGAGAGAGAGGGAGGACGGAAGAGAGGCCTGTGAAAGCAGAGAACATGTTGCAGCAATATGTTGCCAAAAATTCTGTTACCAAAAATACAAAGATTTAATTAAGAAATTTGCTGAAAAATACAAAATTAAAATAAAAAATAATAATAATAGTAACAAATATATACAAAATATAACTTATATGTCTTAGTTTTTGTTTCTAGATAAAATTAATCATATGACAAATTTTTTGTATTTTAAAATGATTCCCAACATTTTTTTTTTTACTAAAAGTTGTCAAATTAATTTACAAAATAATAAAGGATTTTAATATTAAAGTTGTTTTCAATTATGTATTAATAATTAATATTTTATATTAATAAATTCTTAATTTATTGAAATTTTATGCAATATAATATTATAATATTAACATTTTTAATAAATTATAAAAAGCTTATGTAGATTTTAATTCATCCAGCCAGTTATATACATTTCGAGCCACTGTACAACTGCCAAACTTGTTGCTAAAAACGCGCCAAAATAACTGGCACACACACACACATATACACACACACATGCACACCCACAATGACAGTCAACAACAAAAAGTAAAGAAGCAACGCGACCAAAATGCGCACCGCAGCAGTCAACACTGCAGTCGTCGCGATGAGTAATTTTCACCACCCAAAACAACGCAAGCCACCCCAGCTCCCCCCTTCTTAATGGAGACCCCCTCATTCCACAAAGTGCGCCTCAGCTGTCAGCAGTGGCAAAACTCACCTGTTAGGCGCAGGATGCCTGGTCACAGTTGCTGCCTTCACTCTGCTGCCCACCAATTCACCACGGCCAACCGAAACTGAGGTGAATTCAGCGCAAGCTGCTCGGCTGACTCGCGACTCGCGAGCACTCGACCAAAACAGTTGCGACGCGACTGAGGAACGTGACGGACGTGCGAGCGCTTGACGCTTGAACCGCAAAAGCTCAATACAAACAAGTTTCTGAAATTAAATATACAAAAATATTCCAAATGATTACAAAAAGTTGCAAATTTTCCAAAAAATATAAAATTGAATTTAAAAAACGCGATTCACCAAGAAAATGCTAAATATTTCGTTAAAAAATTTCCATAATTTCATAAATATTTCCAATAAAATGCGAAACGTGTGTTGAGTTTCCTGATTACGAATCGCCTTAGTCCCAAAAGTTCAGTTAGTCGTTAGCTCTCGCAGACAACGAACGTATGCAAAGAACGTGGCTTATACGGGCTGATAAGAGAATGGAATAACGGTAAAGATTTCAAAATGTACAAGAATTAGAGACTAACTAGTGTATTTGGATTTATTTTATTTAGTTTTATTCATGGGCTATCCAATTATTTTCTTTTGATCAGTAATTTAAGTAATATTTTAGTATTTTGCATTTGTTTCATTTGGCTTTTTTCTTAGAAACTCTTTTGGTTTGATCTTATTTAGTATTTTTCTAGTTTTTTTAAAAGTATTTTTATATATTTATCTTTAAAAAATCCGTAAGCTCCACAGATCTTTATTTCATCGCCTTATACTCAATCTCAAGCTTCAGGCTTTGATGCTCAAGACTTTCGATTATCCTCTTCACTTTTGCCTCCTGGCAATTCCTGAACCGCATTTAAGCACAGCCACATTTAACACTTGTGCCTCGATTCTGTTGGCAGTTCAATTACTTTCAAGCTGTCTACACTTCCCCACTTCAAGGTTTAATTACACAAACTTTGGAGCCAGCCACAGAAAAGAAGAAGAAGAAAAAAGAGAAGAAAACCACATGAAGTGCAAGTTATATTTGAACATTAGCCGCCCACGCACTAATTGCGTTTCTTCTCGCTGACGAATTGCACACAAAAAATGGCCCCAAAACAAATCCTTCAACAGCGCGTCAGCCATTGTTGTTTCCGTTACGAGCCGTTGTGTTTGATAAGCGCCTTATCAGTTGTTATCTACACAAAGCGGGCCATTGATAAGGTGTTTTAGTTGCGCACACAGCGATAAAAATGACATAAAATAGAAAAGCGATATACTATAGATAGATAGTTAGCTATATATTTATATATATACGCCAGTTCTTTGTCATGTGATGCGAACACAGCTCAAGCCAATTACGAAGTTACATTTTTTGTAGCATACACAACGGCACACTGCATTGTCATTTAATGATTGGAAAATAGATTAGCGTTAAACGTGGTACCAATTGGATTTTCCCGGCATTCGTTTAACGAGTGAAAATAATGTGTGCACTAAATGAATCGAATTATCGACTATTATAAGAGGAAACGAGTTTTGGCTACAATTATTGAAGGTATTCAAAGAAGTCGATGGAAAACATGTGGACTAATTAGCTAAAAGTGTTAGAAGCAATAATCATTAGCAGCATTTAGAAAGTATGTATCAGACTCTACTTAAATTATATATGGTGCAATCTGCTACTGGGATTAGCTAATATTTGACCCACATATATATTGTAGAAGCTTACGAATTCGAAGCTTTTACGTCACGTCTCAGCTCATATAAGGTTTCCATAACCGATTGATACGACTACTTTGTAGACATCTCTGTAGATATCTATTGGAATAGCAAATCGCTGCCTGCGGGATTCAGCTGTGACGGAGCTAGCTGTCAATCGATTCGTAGCTGCACAAATACCAATAGGAATGTGTTCTAATACGCAATATCAAGTATACGCAATGTGCAATCGCACGTCATGCGTCAGCACCTTTTATTACAATGTTTTTGTTTCGTTTCGTTTTTTGTTTCTTTTTGAAAAGTTCTATGGCTATGCATATAACGTTGATAACATGCACACATACACAGCTACAGTGGCAAATGTGCTGTAAAGAAATTTGCTTTGTTTAGGGCCAACATGCATTAAGCCTGCTGGGCAGTTGTCAACAGTGGGCAACAAGGCACATTAGCAAATATTCGCACACACACACACACACACTCAAGTGCACATGTGTGGAACCCCTTTTAGTTTTGAATCCTGTAAAGTCTGCACAACAATAACAATGCGCTTTACTTTGGCTTCCATTTGCTGCCAACTAAGCAAACATGAAAATACATTTACAGTTGAGCCAGTGGCGTAAGTCCCTTAAGTCCCTGCAATAAGTTCTCTACTTTCTTCGTATTATTTGTAGATATACGTACTACTTTCATAGAACAGCTTTTGCTACCATTTCACAACTGTTGACTAATAAAACTTCAACTAAATTCTATTTACAGCTGCTGCGTGCGACAATTGTCGAAATCGAAATCAAAGTGGAAGCCATGTCCAGTCCAAATCAGTCTCTAAAACACAATAGAAATTCAAATTAAAATTCAATTGTGTTTTTTCCTCGTGTTTATTCCCAAAATACTTTTCGTTTCGTTTTATTGTCTGGCCACATTGAAGAGGAATTATAAATTGAAATCCGCGTTGAGTGCAAAGTGTTTACAATCAGCTTTCGGCTGGGCCACAGCTTTTCGCGGCATTTTCTTTTCTCTTTTCTGCTTTGAAATGCAACATTTATTTCATAACAACAACAACAACAACAACGAAGTCGGTAATTCAACAGCTCAAATATTTTCGGACCTCGACACTTGTGTTAAGCAAACAGAAAAATAAATTGTGGCTTTAATTTGAGTTCGAGTTTAACAAAAAATAAAAATTTTAAATTATAAATTTGAATAATATATTGTTTAAAAAAGTTTATATAAACAAATTTTGTCAAAATGGCGATGGAATGGATAACAGCTATGGACAAACGGTACGTGGCATAAATAGTTTTATTATACTTATAACAATATTTATTTGATAAAATTAAAATGAAGAAAAAATCAAGAAATGCTTTAAGGTTAATTCATATGAGTTAAAGGGCCAGTTAACATATGAGAATCACATGGAAAGGCGCATTTTGAAAAGCTTGCACCGAAATTACAATAAAGTTCAGTTTAATGCAGTTCATTAACATTTCATATAATTTATTATTTTTTAGCTCTTTGACAGCCAACAAATTATATGAACTTAAATTAGTTCTGACAATATCTCAACTCTAGAATAAAAAAAAAGTACATTACATAGACAAAAAATAAAAAGAACAAAGTACTTTGTTATCTTTCACATTTTCTGAAGCACGAAAGTACTTCAGAAAGTTCCATTAAGACTGTAGCCGAGCGTGAAATGCTACTATGAAATAAATAATGCGAGATGCACAATCATATTTCAAGCTCGAGTGAAATTAATTGAATTAAAATTTAAAATTCATGCGCTCACCAGGCGAACATTTCCAATTTGTCAGCTGGGGGAACTTTTTGGCTGTTAGCCCTGGCAGGCGACATGCTGCGCCATCATTATTTAAGCAACAACGGCAGACGAACAAATGTCGTGTATGTTGGATTTCAAATGTTTATATCATGCTCGACATTCATCTGTCAAATGGCAACAGCTGGCCAAATCCAAATCCAAATGCTGGACACGGCTGGCTACAAATTATACGCTTTATTAAATTACAATCGCTTTTTAAGCACAAAATGCAATTACAAAGCTGCTGCGACTCCTGCGACTCCTGCTACTCCTGCTGCAGCTCACTTTTTGTCCAAAGTGCTGCCCCAACTTAATGCCCTCGGGCCAGAACCAGCTAGGCGGCCCCCTTCCACTTGATTAGCGCACTGGAGTGGAGCACAAATTTGTGAGCTGACGAATTGGCGATGGGCGATGGGCGATGGGCATTTGGCTTTGGCTTTGGCTTTCAAGGGCCGCATTCAAGCGCAAATTGTGCTCATTACAAGACCAAACTAAAGTAGCAAAATTTATACACACACATACACATACATACATGTATACATCTGTATATAAGAATCCACTTTTCATGGCACTCTGCAGAATAGAAAGCATCATTAGCCCAAGTGGCAAAACGTTTCGGCTCGATTATTTCGTGCGGCAGCTGCTGCTTAGGTTACAGCTGCATGTACCGAAAAATTGCTACAATCTAAATGCTATATCAAGGGCGGTTACAGTTACCGGCTAGCCACGCCCACGGCCACGGCCACGCACACATACAGGCGCACACAATCAATCAGCACTTGCCCGCTGGCGGCTTAAATGAACAGCATAGCAACTTGCCAGAAATCCAACAGAGAACAGGGTCAGCTAGCTGACTGGCTCAATGTATATGTGTGTTAGCTAGTGAAAAAGGTCGAGGGCAAAAAGGGCTTTAAGCCAACACACACACACACACAGTCACGTACATCAAACTGTTTGCCTTGTGATTTTGCGACGGTTTTTGTGTGCGCTGCAAATATTTGTGTTTCCCGCATTTGTTTAGCTCTTTCTTTGTTGCATTTTTTATTTGCGCGCTAACTGAAACAATAAGTACGCTGTGCGTTGGCCAAAAACCAGCTGCAAGTGGCGGGTCAAAGAGTTGAAGCGCGGCCACTGATCGACTGACGGATGCCCTGTGGCTAGCTGTGAAAATTTGTTTGCTGAAACTTTTATAATGTAAATTTCTGAGATGGAGAAACTTTTGACAATTATATATAGTGTAACAGTTGTATTTTAAAGGGCTAACAGACGAATATTGGCGACTGATAGACACTCTGTGAAGGGCTTGAAGTATTTGCATGCTTGACTAAAATATATGCTAAAATGTGTGACTTATATTGGGGAAAAGGTAATCACCCTATGGTTAAACGCTTTAAGTTATGTAACTAGCTCCGCGAGAGAGAGAGAGAGAGAGAGAGAGAGAGAGAGAGAGGGAGAGATAGAGAGAGGGATTACTTTTCCTCACTCTGCATATTAAAAAAGGTAAAGGTTTCTAGCTGAAGGAGTTTGCTTATAAGCAGCTTTAGGTATCACAGCCCAATGCTCGACTGATAGACACTCTATAATGAGCTTAGCTTGAATATGTGCATAAAATATGTTACCAAGAAAGTGAAAGGCTTTTAGATTCAAGATTTATACAAACAAGCTTTTAATATCGAAACAATTTGTTCCACTGAAAGATACCCTGTACAAGCTCTATAAGTATAAATTCTAGAGCTCGCATATAAGTTCAAGTTACACCTCACCTCTACATAAATATCAAATTCCCTTTTTACATATCACTTCTAACCCCCCGTGAACTTCTACTGAGCACAGCAAACCCGCTCAAAGCAACTGCCCTCATACAGGGTACAATTAACATGTTTTTCTGCCATTGGCATTACAAGCGAAATGGAATGCATTCCTCTTCCGACAAGTCAGTGAATTTGCATTTTAGCCAAGTAACGATTGGCCATAAACCAATGTCAGAGAGCCGAAAATACGCGCACCGCAATTGCCACAGAATAAATGATTTAATTTGGGGCCAAAATTAATGGCAACAGCTCGAGAGTCACGCAGTCTCAAATCTTTGGCTCGTAATGCGGTAATGCGGCTTATCAGAGGCGATCAGAGCAGTTTAGCCAGCTCGTGTGGCAGGACAGCCAGACAGCCAGACAGACAGCCAGACAGCCAGCCAGCCAAGTTAGCTGGCATTTGATATTGATGATGCTGTTCGTTCTATCCTCAAGTGCTACGTGACGTATGCGTGTGGTTGCCACATATTTATCATACGACACGTGTGCGGCTACACAAAGTGCTTCAGGCACATTAAATATTTAAATTATTATTTTACGCTGCTTCTCAGTCGGGTTGCTGTTACACAGGACAATTATAAAATAAAAACAGAGGCCGCTTTGTATTCGACAGAAACCACAAAATGCTATTATAATAAACAACAAGCCGGGGCGAGCGAGACGCTTCCGGTGCCCGAATTCCCTATTAAGCAGGCTACTCCTACATAAATGTGTGTGTGTGTGTGTATACTGAATGTATATATGTATGCATGTGGCAGACATGGCACTTAGCCGTGCCGCTGTTTGGTTAACGACAGCAACAACTGGCAACGCCCAGTCGCTGTGGGCCCATACACAACATGGCCTATAAATTATGTATGAGCGCGGCCAAAGACAAACTCCAGCTCCAACACGGCTACGGCCACGGCTACGGCTACGGCTACGGCTCCGGCAGCAGCAACAGCTCACCTTCAACAGCAGCAAAAGTTGCTCAGCGCCAGCGTCAAAAAGTAGACACTACAATATTAAAGTAGCATCAAGCCACCACACACACACTCGCACACACACACACGCACAGCTGGGGCACACTAACTAACAGCCAGCAGCTTTGTTGATTTTGATTTAGAGCGAGAATTTGCTTTCGGTTCTCGCATCTGCCTATTTTATGGCATTTTTAATTAACCAAAAAACACAACGAATTCAACTTAGACTGTCTATGCCGCAGAGCCGTGTTTGTTCATTTGCCAGCTTCACACACACACACGCACGCACACACATGTATTTGCCATTTTCAGCTGCACTGCAGCTGAGCTTTAAAAAGCAAACAGGCACAGGGAAAAGAATGAGAGCAGCTTGAATAACATTAGCCAGAAGCAGCACTTCAATTTTAAATTAAATTTCATGCCGAGAGCGAGCGGGCAACTGGAAACTTTATTTAGTCAGAGAAGCCGAAGTTGTCGGTGGCAAGGCGAGCTTTAATTCTTATGAGAGAGTTTAGTGCGCTTTTAAAGCTGTTGGCATGTGCTTAATATTTTAATATATTTTAAAAGACATCAAAATTGAAATCTGTTTTTGGTTACCAAATGGCATACAGTCTAAAATAAAAGGATGTTTTATAAAAAAACTCAACGCTCTGAATTTTTTAATTATGTATTATATATTTCATACTAAATGAAAAAAAAAAAATATTTATTGCTTGTAAAAAAAAAATATTAAAAATTATTAAAACCTCATTAAAGCTTTATCTGATGAAAATTGTTGAATTAAAATAAAAAATTAAGAAATTGTATTTTTAAATAAATAAATGACATTTAAAAAAATAAAATAGTTGAGCTTTTATTTACAAAAAAAAAATAAATAAATAAAAATAAATAAATAATTAAATAAATTGTCAAAGAGGAGATGAGGTCTAATGTCTAAAATTACCTATGAAATTTCTTGATCAACTCTCATCTAGACCTTTTAAGAGCAAGTCTAAACAGAATTACAAGAAAAAAGCTTTTCAATAACCATCAGTGCTTTTACATATATTATAAATAATCAATCGAACGCTTTTATGTGCTTTAAAAGTCACTCTTCAATAACTTGCAAAGAAGAGGCTTTGAAAGTCGGCCAAAGCTTTTAAATAAAGCAAAAGGTTTAACATGTCTTAAAAGCCTCCTCTGGTGGCCATAAATAATACAATAACAATAAATTCCCAAAAATAGATCGCCTACAAGTTTTGTGGCCATATTTACAGCTGTTGTCCTGACGATTTAAGAAGCTCTTACGTGCTACTTGAGAAGAGTGGAGCAGGCATCTCCCAGCCGGCAGCTCTCAGTGGACCAAGTGTCCAGTCTGAAGTTTTTTGAGAGGCCGACCAAAGTGAAACTTATCCAAAGTTGAACGCTGGGCAATTAGTTGTTGACTTTCTGCTCTTCTTCTTTTCTGGCTGCTTTTCTCAGCCAGAACATCCGTTTCCGGTTAGCTGGCCGCTCGGCAGCCCCTTCCTTAAGTGTTTGCTTATGCATTTTTATTTCGATATACAAATAAGAATATTACCGAAAGCGAGCCGAATTGCGAATGTTTTATTTGCATATTTAATTCGGGCTCCGGCCATGTCCAAAGAGCATTCAAATTTTTTAATTTCAGCATTGTTGTATATAAATTTTTTTATACTTTGCGTTTTCCCATTTCCATTTGTATTTGCATTTCCATTTCATGGCATTCTTTCATATTTTTCTTTTTCATTTCAATTTTTTTTTATTCCTTTGGCCTTGTCTGTTCGCCTTCGCAGCTGTAAAACATAAAACAAATACAAAAACAGCTCTTTGAATGGCAGTCATTTAAAAACTGCAAAATACTCAAACTCATTCGCATTCCTTCTGGGCCTGGCGCTCTTTTTATGTCTGATATATATATCTTTTGCGCACTTTATTAGGATCTATTGTTCGACCGCAGAGAGATGCGGCTGCTGCGGTGGCTGCTGCTGCGGCGGCTGCTGCTGTGATTGATCTAGTTCCGCCAGTTACTTTGAGCTCTTCCTTGAATCACTACAGAAAGTGTTTTTTATTTTCTTGCAAAGACTTTTATAATTAGGATGAATGGGAGAGATAAAGAAAGAGGCAGAGAGAGGGCTTGTAAATAAATAATCACTTCAAAACTATTTAAAAGGGCTTTTGACAGGTGCTTAGACAACAGTTAAATAAGGCATAGGTGAATTTTTAATAGCATAATAAGACGGAAAGAAAAAACAACAACAAAAACCTTTTGATAATTGATGCAAAAATATATTTAAGAAAACAAAAATTATAAATATTAAATGTGAATTTAAAATATGAGCTTAGAGTGCTAGAGGGTAAACATAAACTTAAAGAATACAAAATAAATACAATAAATAAATATATAATAATAACTTATTATTATGTCTTACATAAAGAAGATATGTTCTCGAAACGATTAATAAATCTTTAAAAATATTTTAAATAATATTATAATTAAGTTTTATTTGGCAATACAAAGCCGAAGGCCTCAGTTGCCGCTGCTTTAAGTGTTAATATTTACACAATCTTATCTCTAAATAAATAAATTTATAAACTAATTCTTATCTCTAATAAATAAATAAAATTATATACTAGCGTGTAATAATTTTAAGAATATCAGTGAGATTATTTTCATTGGAATTTTCTATTTAATTTTTGCTAACGAACATTTCCAAGCATCATCTGTAATAAATATGATTTAAAGCTTCAAGCTTCCTTCTTAATAAATCATTAGCTCTAAGCTATTCATATTGCTATTCGTTGCCATTCAATACTATTCATTATAGTCATTCGCTTTTACTAGGCGAATTAAGTGAATATTTGTTGGCCAAATAAATAAAAGAGCATTTTGGCCATACTCAAGCCAGAGCTAGATGGCCAATAGAACGACGATTAAGGAAAATTGATTGTTTTTTTGTAGTTATTGCTTATAGAGTATGTGGCCTATAAAGAGCAACTTAATTTTTATTGTTTTTTTTAAGTTGAGTTTAATTTGTTTTGTGTTGACACTGCGTGCTATTTGCTGAAAGTTATTTTATTTTCATTTTCATTTTCTTTATTGCAGTCCTTGTGATCGCAACCTACGTGATGTGGAACTAATATCCTGTCGCTTGCGACGCGTGGAGCCGCTCTGTCGCCTGCCAGGGTCAGCCTTGCAGCAGTTGGCCATGTGCGGCTTCTACGAGGACTTGGAGAAGGGCGTCACACGTAAGTGAAATTTAAGTATTAATTATGTGCACAACATATTAAATGAGTTCACTTCACTTCTCTTCTGTTTTAATAACAATTGCTTGTGCTTCTTCTTCTTTAGTTTTTCGCGCTGGCGAACAAGGACGCTTTTGGTATGCAGTGCTCGGCGGCTCATTGGAGGTGCGCTATCACGCCCATTCCGATGCCGATGGAAAGGTGAGTGCACTCACATCAATATATATATGTATACATATGTATGTATTTGTATTGGTATATGTTTATGTCAGCTATTGTCAAGCACCATGGCTTGACTGTCATGTCATGCGAAAACAATGCACGGTTTGAACAATATAATTGATGGCGATTATATCGCCAGGATAGCAAAGGGGGAAGTAGGAATAAAAAAAAGCGAACAAAAAATGGTTATGCATGAATAAACTAACACCGATGAGGCATCGACTGCGGCTGAGGCTTCAGCCTGAATCCGGGGTCTGGGTTTGCGTTGGTTCTGGGTCTGGGTCTGGGATGTTTAATATGTCGATTCGATTGCCAAATGGGTTATGTGGTTACGGGCGGCGCTGTGTGGGCTCTCGGCTTTGGATTGTGGCTTATGTATGTGCCGGTGGCTGGTCTTTTATCTGCTACGAAACTGCTGACAGCGCCATTGTGCATTCAGTTGCTTCGCCTCTATTTTTGCCAGCATTTTTTTTTGCACATTGATATTATGTTTTTTTTTTTGCTGTTCTTTTTTTTTTTTTTTTTGAACTATTGTGCTGGCCACAGGACATTAATTTCCGTACGGATATTGGCCAGTCGTATTTGCAGGCTGTCGATGCCGTTCTATCTCTGTCTGCCTCTCTCTCTCTCTCTCTCTCTCTCGCTCTTTGTGAGTGGACCTGCTCGAGTACATGGTCGAGTTGATTTAGGTTCCATGCATGTCCACTCCAAAAAGGTGTCGGCTAATTGAAATGGGCGCATGGCCAAGCCAGACCAAGCTAACTGACATCTGTGTATGTGTGTGTGTGTGTGTGTGTGGGTGGGTGCCATAGAAATTTGAGTATTATGTGTGCAAGTGGTCCCATGAAGGACGCTCGCTGGCTGTAACACGAGCTGTAAAACTAATCAGCGCTGCGGTTGACATCGCTCCGAAACTTTGCTCAAACTAATTTTTATATAAATTCTCATTTATGGCCACGCTCCTGAGAGCTATTTAAGCATTTTTGCATTTTAATGACATTTTATAAAAAAAAAAACAAGAGTTGAGCTCTTTTGTTATAAATTCCTTTAAAAGTGTCAAGCGCGCTGCGTGCTGAGCTTAAATTATAAACTATTTTAAGTGGAATTTATGTGTGATAAAGGGGAATTTGAATATGGGTAAGGGGTTCTACTTTCGATATATTGACAGAGGTATTCGATCACATTTAGTTGATGAAAGTTATACATATACCAGACATTATATGATATATGATTTAGGAATACAAATTTTACGTAAGACTCTCCATTTGATCAGCTTTTATCAAACATGTGGCTAACTTGGCTATAATAATTTATCTAACACTTTTCAATTAGCTCTCGTTATCACGCGCTGAGTACATATTTCCGCTGCAGTCAAAGTCAAGTCCTTTATTTAGGCGAAACCAACCCACGCACGCTTTCAAAGAGCTCGGGGATAAGATTCACACGGAGTCATTCACAATTAGAGCTTCAGCTGGCATCATTACCAGCAAAGCCAAGACGCCCCATTTGAATGATGTGATAAAGCCTGCCTAATGACAAGGCTGTAGCTTCCAAATGAAGCCAGCGGCAACGTAATACTTTGAACCCTTTTTGGTTTATGGCCATTTCTTTTTCTACGGCTCTTATTGGGTCAGCGAAAGGGTATTACCTTGTACCTTGTAATTATATTTAGTTACAAAGTAACTTGCACAACGAAACTTAACAAGGAAAATATAGAAAATTGTAAGCCATCCACAATTGGCTACTTTTTACATCAGCTTTTCAATTTCCTTTCACGACTTTGATTTCTGTTGAGCTGCCATCAAAATAAAACTCAATCAGTGTCCTTAAAGCGTTAATTTTATGACCCATTTCTGTAGCTGGCGAATTTTGCATAATTTTTCACTTGATTTATTTAGGCAGAAGCATTAGAAGCATTTTCGCCACGGGCCGAACGCTCGCAATTACAGGCCCATAAATTATGCATATTTACTTGGCTCTAGGCCATCTCTCGGGCCAGCCGGCAGAAAAAGCAACTGTATTTGACACTTGATGCAGCTGGGCAAAAAATGTTGCCGTAGCAGTCGAAACAAGGTAAATTTAATGAATGAGCGGCGCGCGTTAAAGTTGATGAAGTTTTTGGTGTTGTTGTTGTTTTTGTTTGTTTTTTTGTGGATGGCAACGCGAGTGGCGTGTGGCGTGCGACACGCAAAACCCAATTTTCCGTTCACATTCGAAGAGGAACGAAGAGGAAAAAATCAACAGCAAAAGAAGAGCTAAATTTAACAGCCAGGGAAAAGCCAAAAAAAAAAAAGATCACACACAAACAGACAAACAAAGGGGGAAGCCGAGAGCGTCGAGGCCCTATCAATAGCTACACAATTAATTTCAAGTGCTACTGCGAAGGCATTGGAATTCAGCATCACAAAAAAATAGACAAATTAAGGCAAAGAGAGTGGGAGAGATAGCGAGAGAGCGAGAGCGAGGGAGATGGAAAAAATGTATGTGAGACTGGAGGCGACCATTTGGTGCGAGTTCCGCTCAACCGGATTTCCATGCAGCAGCGGCGGCGGCAGCTCACGTGACACAGTTTGTGCAGCAGGGGAGCGGAGTGTGGCTGCCTGCCTAATGATATGAGCTCACGTCATAGCTAATTTAGCGATCTAATGAAATGCGAGAAAAATTAGCAGGAATAGTAGGAGCAGCAACAGCAGCAGCAGCAATAGCAACAGCAGCAGCAATAGCAGCAGCAGCAGCAATAGCAGCAGCAGCAGCAATAGCAGCAATACCAGCAGCAGCAGAAGCAGCAGCAGCAGTAGCAACAGCAGCAACAGCAGCAACAGTATCAGCAGCAATAGCAGCCGCAGCAGCAGCAATAGCAGCAGCAGCAGCAATAGCATCAGCGATGGCAGCAGCAGCAGTAGCAACAGCAGCAGCAGAAACGGCAGCAGCAGCAACAGCAGCAATAGTAGCAGCAACAGCAATAGTTGCAGCAACAGCAACAGCAGGAGTAGCAGCTGCAGCCACAAAAGCAGCAGCAACAGCAGCAGCAACAGCAGCAACAGCAACGGCAACAGCAGCAGCAGCAACAGCAGCAGCAACAGCATCAGCAACAACAGCAGCAAAAACAGCAACAGCAGCAACAGCAGCGAGACCAACAGCAATAGCAGGAGTAGCGGCAGCAAGAAGAGCAGCAACATCAACAGCAACAACAGCTACAGCAACAGCAGCAACAGCAGCAACAACAACAACGGCAACAGCAGCAACAGCAACAGCAGCTGCTTCTCACTGAAGAACAGATACAAATTGCAATGCATTTATAAATGTTTCACTTTTGACTAGGAATTTAAGACTTATTGCAGCAGCAGCACGCACACACAAATACACACACACACATAGTCTCTCCCACACACCTGTAAACAGTTATAATTACATAATATGCGAGTGCAATGGCCATCAGCTGCAGCCAGTTTGCGCGCCCTTCAACCGAAGTGGATCTTTGAGATTGCTGCCAGCAGCAGCAGCAGCAGCAACAGCAACATCAGCAGCAGCAGTAGCTCGGCCAAGTTCGTCTGGAATTACACAATTAATCTTTGTGGCTCTGGCTGTGTTGACGCCGACACCAATTAAAATTATGTTATAATTATAGTTGGCGGCGCGCCTGGCCATCAAATTAGCTGCGCTCGGCGATGTGCTTTTCCTAAACTCGTCAAAACTAATGAAAATACATACATATATAGCTAATTATATATAAGTGTGTATATAGACTTATTAAGTAAAAATGTTGTTAACCCACATATAATTAGACAATCATTAGGCCAACTCAGCTTGTCTTAATCGAAACTCTGATGGCCACCCAGCACGAGTTGCATGTCTCAAATTCAAGTTCAAATTCGATTCAAACGTGGGCGGCGACTCAAGCGGGGCTTTTTCCTTCTATAGTGAAAGTAGTAAAAGAAATTTGTAACTCTATGAATCAATATTTATATAGAGCTGTCAGCAGCAGTTCAATAGCCACAGTAATGCTGGTCAGCTGGCCTGAAGTTTCTCGGCTGGCCAACAAAATAAACCCCATTTAAATATTGCAGCTTTCGGCGAGCACAATTTCCGTCTCTCACACAAAAGCCGGAAGCATTCCACATTTGGTAAAAAAAAAGAGAGATATAAAAAAAAGAAGAATAAAAAAACAACTTTAACCTCTTTAAGCCAAAGAACAGCATTCTGTCTGGCCCCATTTGGCCAGTTCTTTAATTAGTTAATAAGTGTTGCGGTGCGAACGGCTGGCTGTCTGGCCAAAGTTGGCCAGCTTTATGGCCCAAGCATTTGCATATTGCGCGAACCTGTAAGACGGCCAATCAAACTCGGAAGATATATATCATTGGTATTTACAGGTAACACAATCGTCAATCGTCAATCATCTATCGTTCGTTAGCGGACAGAAGCTGGCAATTTCCTTTTGGACAATCAAATGATTTGTGCTTTAATTAAACACACATTTGCACACCAACTAACTAACTAACTGGTAATTAATAGCTAGGCAAATACTCTCAGCCAGACAGAGAGACAGACAGCTGGAGAGAGGGATAGACAGATGGAGGAACAGCCAGCTGATGAACTTGTCAGACACAATCAAAGACAATCAAAGAGACAGCCAAAAACAGTAGACAAAATACATATTGACTTGTTTATGCACGAATGACAGGAGCTGAAAATTGGGGCAAATGGGGTATAGAATGAAGGTGGAAGTGAAGAAGTGAATTTAAAGGAAATTGGAGAAACTGGCAGAAAAAAAACAGTGAAATTTAGTGGAGCAGCAAGTAATGTTTAGTATATATAAATGCATATTAAGCAAATTGATTTAGTTTTAAAATTAACCAAATTAAAATAAAATATTTAATAAACAACAAAAAATGTGTATTGTCAGAGCTAAGCAAAACTAACCTTAAAAATAATAAAAAAAATATATAACAATTTATTTTCAACTCAAATTTAAAAACCTT